TGTGATATATGGTTTGGCACAACCAACGCATGGATGACGACCAGCTTCTGGTCCATCCTGGTGAAGCATAGCCTAGTTCACCCGGCATATCGTTCCGCCTCCGCATGCGAGGTCTTGGTCTACCAACTTCCGCATGCGTTGACATTTGAGTACCGCCCCTCTAGGCTTCTTCCGCGTGGCCAATGGTCTTAACATCTACGGCATGCACAACATGAGCGCCCCCCCCCCTCTTGAACGCCGTAACGCCTGGCAGCAAGAGTTTCCTCCCCTGCCCGATAAGCCCTACGACTTAGTCGTCCTGGGGTCGGGGCCGGGGGGAGAGGCGGCGGCGGTGCAGGCGGCACGCCTGGGGGCCTCCGTGGCGGTGGTGGAGATCAAGAAGAGCTTCGGAGGGCCGACGGGGCTGACGTCCAAGGCCGTGAGGGAGGCGGCCAAGCAGATCAACCAGGCCGTCACGAACGTGAGCTCTTGCGGTTGCGGGTGTGATAGGAGTGGCGGTGGTGGTGGTCTGCAGAGGTCTTGTTGGTGCAGCTGTCATATCATCAGCGTCAACTGGTGGTCTCCAGTTCGGCGTACGAAATGTCACATTCATTTGGCTTACCCTTACGACTTCACCAGTGCACGCTAACGTATGGCTACCCACGGCACACTGGCCTTACGTTGATCGGTGGTGTTTGAGTTAAGGAGGGTTAGGGAATAGGGAAATGAAACGGGATGCAACAAACATGTGTGGAAAAGATTCCTGCTGATTCAACCCTTGTTTTACGACAAAGTGGTCCGCATCCCTGGTGGTGATTTCATGGCGGTCCTAGGAGAGGCATCGAGGAAGATCACGAAGATGGTCGAGGAAGCTGTTGGTAATCGCTGTAGTCTTGGCGTTGGCGCTGTTGTTATTGCTGTTGTCGTTGGTTGTTGTTGTCATTGTTGTTGTTGTGGTTGCAATTGGTGTGTCGGTGTCGGCGCGGGTGGAAGAGACGTGACGGAGTACTTCGACCAGGTCTTCCCCATCCACTTCTTTATGGGAAAACTTCGTCGTGTGGATTGTTGGGGGAGCGGCTTGATTTGTTCATGGTTGCCACCACTCTTTGTTCACGGTTCTATTGTTTATTTTGATGCGGCCGTGGCGGCGGCAGGTGGGAGGCGACAGACGAAGGCAGACGCGCAGAATGTGGAAGCTCCGCTTTCCCGCACTTCGAGCCCAGGCTGAGGTTCTGCAGGTACGCAGGACGCCAACGAGGGCAACACCTTGTCCAACGCGTAGGAAAGCACGACTGCTGCAATTTTTTTTGTAGGGAATACAACGGCGAGAGTGACAGTGATAAGCCATCGAGACGCTCAAAGTAGTCGTGCATGCGAAACGTATGCTGCTGCGACTGCTGCTGCTGCTGCTGCTGCTGCTGCTGCTGCTGCTGCTGCTCTAAGCCGAGGCTCGTGTGTTGTGTGCCTGACTGGAAACAAATAATGTCCGCTCACGTTTCGTGCACGATCCGCACCTATGAAACCTACCCGGCTGGCGAGAGGGGTAAGGTGTAGCGATGTCCGGTAATCCATGGCCTTTCCCCCGTCGCCCCCTTTTCACCACGAAAGAAAGGCGGCGGAAACACGCGACCGTCTGTCCAAGAACCTGATCGACCTCTACATCGGAGAGGCGGAAATCCTGCCGCAGAGCAAGAGGCCGAAGGAAGAGCGGCAGAACGGGGAGATTGCCGTCCGAGTCTGTCGCCCCAGGGCCTGCATCGACATACCGGCGCACTACGTGTGTGTTGCAACGGGGTCTCGGTGAGAGGGGGCGGGGGGGGCGGGGGGGGTACCCATGGTTGTGCATACCGTAGTCGTTAGACCATTGACCTCACATCCCTACAAGGCCGGGACGGAGCACTCCGGGTTCTCACCGGACTAGGCTCTCAAATCGCCAGCGCGAAGCGCCGTGGGGTATTCGGCGAGTTGCATGAAGGGTGCGCTGCATCCTGCTAAGGGTTTTCGGCATCTTGTGCTTTCTTCCTTGCGTACGGATGACAGCTGCGTATGACTTAATTTTTTTTCTGGTGCTTTCACTTCCAGAGACAGTTGTAAGCACTGTGTAACTGCCTCGAGGGTGCTTGACCAATTTAACACAATGTGGTGCGATTATCCCCTTTGCGCGGAGTGAGGGCTCTCAACCCCGAACGGCATGATCTACTCGACCACCATTCATAGTAACCGCAAAAAAAAAAACAGAGGTAAAAAAAAAACGGTAACCTGGTTGCCGAGTTCACGAAATGAACGGGTTGTTTTACAACGTCGTGGCCAAGCGACGAAAACCCAACCCCGATGGCAAACACCGGGGGAGGGAGGAGGGGGGGGGAGTATCGTGGAGGTGGCTTTTGAATAACATTCCCATTTTGCCGATGTCTGCTGAGGATGATTTTTTCTCTTTTTCACGCTTTCACAATCTTGTCAAAATTTGGTGCAGGCCTAACCGGCCACCCAAGATGAGATCAGGATCGCGGCTCCCTTTCATGAAGGGCGTGGTGGTAGACGCTACCGAGATGGGCACGATCACCGACCTCCCCAATGCGTGCGCGATCATCGGGGGAGGCGTCATAGCGGTGGAGTACGCCACTGTCCTCGCTGGGCTGGGGGTCGGAGTGTCCCTTCTTTGCAAAGACGAGGTGAGTAAATTGAGACTCGGCCGGATCGTTTGCTTTTTTTGTTTGTTGTGTGCCTTGCTGTGTGGTACGTGCGCAGCAGTAGCTTTTTCAACGTCGACTATAGAAGTGCGGTTGATACAGGACGATTTGCGAACTTGAATAGGCACTGACCGGTGGTGGATGAGTAGCGGGGGTTCAGAAGTCCTGGGCAGTGCTTGTTGATGCGTTGGAAAAAAGAAATGCATGGGGCGCTTGACTGCCGAAGCCGCTGCTGTTCTGTTGCCGCTTGACATGCTGCTGCTCGTGATGCCGCTGCTTGTGATGCTGCTGCTCGTGATGCTGCTATCGGCTGCCGGTCGCTTGTTAAAAAAAAAAAGGAATTCATGCCCTTCCTTTCTGAGGAGCTTCGGGTGGAGCTCAAGCAACGCATGGTAAGGCAGGGTGAGGGGAGGCGACATAAGCTTGCGGATGGAAACGTGTTTTTCACCTCTTTGTTCGCGTTCAGTGCGCGTGGGATGTGGTAGTTCATTTTTTCGCCGTTATTTTCCTTCCTTTCAGTGCCCGCGCAAGGATGTGTGCACTATTTAGTCGATCGTCGAAATGCCCACGGCAAGACTGAGAAGCTTGTCGAGAGATGCCCCGCAGGCGCGAATGAGTGTGGTATTCAATTCAAGCCTCTCTCGGCTGGGGGGTAGTTTGTCGTGTGCCATGGGCGGCGTCACCAGCTGTTTTTGTGCTTTGTTGTGCCTTGATTGTTGGAGTCCAAGCCACGTTACTGTCACCGTTGCCTCATCCTCCTCATTGGGAACCCTGTACAGCGAGCAGCAAGTATTCTTGTTGACAGTCTTTTTTGCTGCGCAGTTTTTGTTGTTTTTTCGTGTGGTTGATTTTTTCTGCTTTTGCTTGGTCCACTCTTTAGCGCTTGCGTTCATTTTGCGTCTTTTACGTTCAAGGGTGACGAGTGGTTATTGTCAATTTCTATACGTGCTAGCCGTGCAACACATATCTTTCTTAGCACAATTTTTTTTTGTTTGTGCAGATTCGAACTCCCTTCTCTCTCTGCCGTCGCGTAAGCTGCTCTCTCATGGAATCCTTTTTGTTTTGGGCAGATTCGGGACAAGGTTTTATTCGTCCCTGCCCCCATCAAGCGGATCGACATCGTCGCGACAAGCAACATGGTCCTCGTACAGCTGGAGAAAATGGAACGACAGGCAAGTGGGAGAATCACGGCGAGGGTCACATAAGTCAACCGCGGCCGGGGGGGTTAGTTGCATACCATCACAAGAGTTTTGTGGCGGAGGTCGTGGTAGCTTCAAGATTCAAGAAAACATGTATGCTTCCAGTTTTTTTCAGAAGTACCAGATCGAATAGAACACCACGAACGACGTTGGCACCAGAACAGCAACAACATCACCACCAGCAACAACAGGAGTGCACGGGTCTGTCTGTAAAACGAAAGCTGGTGTGGCTTGGTTTGCGCTTTCGCGGTTCCTTTGTCGTAAGGGTTTCGGCGTGGTGCATGGTGCATGGTGATGAACTCTCCTTTGCTCCAACAACAGATTCGCCTACCGTCAACGCCTCTTCAAACGAGTAGGCGCCCCCCCCCCGCGCCCGTACCACCTAAACGACGTTCAGTTGGAATGTAAAGAGAAAAGTCGTCATCAGCAGGTGGCTTCGATCTAGCAGCTGTCCTGCGGCGACTATTCCACGGAAACAAGAAAAAAGGTCATAAAATGGCAACAGCAAGAGCAACAGCAACATCAACAACAGTGAGAACCCTCCGTCCCCCCCTCCTGCAACTACCGCCACCGCCGCCGCCGCCGCCGCCGCCGCCCGCGCGCCCCCGCAGCCCCGACGCTTGCGGGTGGACCTGGTGCTGTACAGCGGAGGGCGCGACGCCAACAGCGAGACCCTTGGATGCGATGCCGCGGGAGTGGACCTGGCCCGGTACGGCCGGATCAAGGTGAGCAAGTGGCGCAATGCGCTTGGAGTATAACACACGACGTCTGGGTCGGTATGGCCGAATCGATGTGAGTCAGTCGCATGAAACGCTGAAGTGCACAAGACGTGTGTTCATCGGTCCATGAGTAGGTTCGGCCTATGCTGAGATAAAAGGGCACACCACATGCTAGTATCTAAGATACACACACGCAATCAGGCGTGGATTGGAAGGCATTCCTGCGCGCTATCTTGGTGTCCTTTGATTGTTCAGCAGATTGTGTGCGGTCGACGCTAGTTAGCGGGAAGCACCGAAGGACACACACACACAAGAGAGAAAGCGCTGCCTTGGTGCATGTGTCTCCCGTCAGACTGGAACGCTATTATTGGTCGGTCGGCGTGATATCGCTATCGCGGTCGATGCCGATCGAACGAAGGAACACGCAGCCCTGCCGGGTCTTACGAGAAAACGGAGCGGTGCTCCTCTTTGATATGCACGCTTCAGCAAGCAACACCCCCACTCCTGTCCCCAACACCCAACATGGTCTGTGACAATTGGCATGGTCCGTTCTGCTTGTCGGCGTGCCTAGGCCTGTTGCGAATACTCATCGGAACAAGTACCGCCATCCGCTATAGGTGTTCGGGACGCCCCCCCCCCCCCCCCCCGTAAGGAATCGCGTGCTTTCTTTCCCCTGCCTCTGTCTGCTCCATCAAGTCGCCGTCAAGTCGATCGCCATCAGACTTTGTCAAGTGGCTATTCGTCGTTGTCGATGCCCACCGTTGTAGTCCTCGAAAAGCAAAGAAATAACAGTATGGTTATGACACACAAATAGTAGTGCCAAACGAAAACGAAAACCAAAAACGAAAAATTGATGGTATACCAATAACACCATCATAAACTACTACTACAACCACAACAACAACAACAACAACAACAACAACAGGTGGATGGGTCTTTCCGGACGTCGAACCCACGGGTGCACGCGATCGGGGACGTGACGGGGCCCCCTGGGCTCGCGTCCTCGGCGCAGATGGGAGGCCGTGCCGTGGCGACCTACCTGTTCAACGATAAGATGCAGAAGCTGAAGCAGTTCATGCTGGAGACCTGCACCGAGATGGAGGTGAGGATCGGACGACAACTTCATTGCGATAGGTGGAGGAGGAAGGATAGAAGAAAAGCTAGCCCGTTTGTTATCTGTTGTGATTTTGTTTTGTTTTTTTGGGAGCGTCGCTGGTTGTAATGCTGGGGGGGTAGAAGCGAGCTAAAAACTATCTTGGGCCCGACAAGACTTTTCGAGCCATGAGCCATCGTATAGCGGTTGTGTGCTCGAGCCGTCGTGTGGACACGGGCTCGGGGTTAAGAGGTACCGCATCGGACGTGTGTGCGGAAGCATCTTTGCCTTGGCTTAGAGGAACTTTGATGGCGGCAATATTTCACGATATGTTCGTCCGCATGCACTGCTCTCTACCTGTTCATCTCAGTCTCTGTCTCCCCCCCCCCCCCCC